ACATACATATCCCACTCTGGGGTTGAGGTGAATAAAATAACTGTGTTGTGACCTAAATAACATGATGTCATGCTATCTGCATAAAGTATTAAAGCATGAAATCCCGCATTTTTAATGTACGAAAGCAACCTGTATCATAACTACATGTGTGCCGTTTGTAACAAACCAAACTGCGTGAAAATCAGTTGAAAATTCCGTGAGTTATTCTATTTTACTTGTGCATACAGCTCCTTCCTCAATAGAAGTGAATGCACTGTGGAGGCGAAGCAAGACCCATCCAAGATGGCGGCCGGCGAGGACGTCGGCTCCGATAGGCAGCGGCAGTCAATGCGGCGTCTATGTATGTATGTCTATGTGAATAGCCTTGCATGTGAAGTGTCACACACTTATAATTCCCTCACGCAAACAGTGATAAATAGGTTCCCCGTGAAGGTTTTTTAAAATAAAATTAAATTAAAATTTTCAAGGCAGAGTTTGCCTCTTTGTTTGGAAATGGGTACGCAAAACAATCTGATTCGATTAAAATTTCATTCATAACTTTTTGTGCAGGCCCAGTTGAATAACGCAACAATAATCTGTGGCTGTTGTGAAGCAGAAGGCTTTGTATGCACTGTGATACTTTGCAATATCAGGAAATGGTGCCATGGTATGGCGCAGATATTCTGAACATCTTATTTAACATTGTTAAACACTATTTTCAGCACAGCGTCAAAGCAAATAATGCATAAGCGGGCTCCACTGCGACTTTAAGACTAAAATTGAGCACTTCTGATCGTTTATATTTCATATACGAAGATGAACAATAGTTTGGCGCACACAATATCGGGGTAACTTAGGCATGCAAAGCGAACAGGGAGCCCACGTAACATAGAGAAAAGCACAGCCTCCGCCATGATCGAAACAGAACGAAATAAACGGGTGTGCACGTACCAAATGTGGGCTGAACAATCGCTGAGAATTCCTTCTTCACTCCCAACACGACATAATGTCCCCCAAACGATGTCTTCACTTATAAAAAAACGTCTTAAAATCTCTCAACTGTCGAAGAAACAATGTCGATGCGGCGCGGAATGTGCAGGAAGTGACGAAAGATGACCGAGGGGCGGGTGACGGGTCTGGCGGGGACTTCAAAATAAAAGCGTCTAAGAGTGACTACTAGCGGAGTAAAGAAATAACGGTTTGACAAAGAAAAGTCTTCACCTGTTCATAGAGATTAGATTGGCAGTAATTAAAACAGAAATACAATAGAATTATTAACTCGCAGTAGTGATAAACATAACTGATGTCGACTTTTCTTTTCGTTCTGGGGTGTAAATGTAATAAAATAAACACAAACAAAGCAGACTAGAACAGTTTAAATCAGAATCACAAGAATCACAAATACTTTATTTATCTCTGGAGGGAAATTGTGATTCATTTCTGTAGCTCTGATGTCAAATATAGAGAATGTAGGCATAGAAACAATAAGGATAAGTACTAAGTATGGTGGTGGCAGTTTCTACTAGACAAAACACATCAAGTCAGAAACTTGTCTCTCTCTGTAGTAGTTTAATTCAGCATCTGCAGATGAGAATGAGCTGAGTGCAAGAGTGAGCCCTGTTCACAGGAAATGTCAGATACTTATATTCGCTGACAACGACAACACCTGAGGTCAGGGATCTTTAACTAGTATTGTCAGAGTGGTGACAAAGCAGTTTGGGCCATCTTATCTAGTCATGTCCTTGGACATTAAGTAAAGCACTCACAGCTTGTCACACACTGACAAAGAGTAAATGGCATGTAAGGGACTTGTGCTTGTGACATCCTGACAAGATATAAAATGCAAGATGACTTCACAGTCTTTCTACTGCATGGCACATAGTACAGAGGCCTAAAAAACTGTCAATTACATTAGTGCTAAATGTTGCATAGATTTTATGAAATTCTATTATATTGTCAATCACGTTTCGATTATATTAATAATTTCCATTAATGTATGTAAAAAATGTAAAAATGAAATATGCTCAATATGCTTCAGTGGTAACACTGGTATGTAAAATATTTAAGAATATAAAATATGTATTCGGTGCTGGGTCTGTAAAGTGTAAAAAAAATATAAAAATATGTGCCTTATGATACAATAAAATGTATAAAACTACTATGTAAAGTAAAAAATAAAAGAATACATTTTGAATGCGACCATGTACAACACATTACATTCTGAGACCTTGTGTTCTCATATTTTGGGTTTACTTGACCTTATACTTCACTCTACTTAACTTAGACTTGTTGTCCTCGTTCGTGGACACTTCTTTGTGCCATCTAGTGGTAGTAAGAGCACAATACATAAATCCATGTAAAAACAAGATGGCAGCCATCTCTGCCAAGTCAGTCTGCAGCCGATTCCGGTATACTTATTTAGTCCTATTGAACCCAAATAGCTAGGAGAAATTAAAAATGCATACTGAGCAAAAGTTCGGGTCTCACGAGGATATGCACTATGTGCAACATGTGATAAAAATATACATTTTGGAGTGGTTGAATATAGTCCAACCAGATACAGGTCATTATCATTTCTACACTGTACATCTGTATTATGCAATGTATACAAACTACGAATAAAGTATAGGTGCACTCTTCTTTACAAATTTACATCAGAGCTTCAAGACATGGTCAGTTTTTAAAATTTACAATATATTTTCATTGTCATTGTAAGCTGTTTTTTTCCTGTTGAAAAATTAAAACAGAAAAACAGAAATCACTAGTATGAGATCAGAAAAGGCACTAATAAACAATTAAGTGAAAAAACAAGTAAAAAAAGGACGACAAAAAATGGAGAACAAGCACCTTTGAAAACAGACCAGAATAAAATCTATCCACAAAGTAAAGTTCAGTCTCAAAATATCCTTAGAACAAAGCTTCAAAGCACAATATTGACTGCCCTTTACATTCAAACATTTTAATTAGATCTTGCCATCTCTTTGGGCCTCCAGGCCAAAATGTCTTAAATGACTACAAAACAACTATCTGCAATCCATATAGTAAAGTTCAGTGGCAAAATATCCTTCTGTAAATTCTTACAAATGTCAAAAAAAAAAAAAAAAAAAAAAA